ATGCAACATTACTTCCTGATCTATCATCTATAATTTTAAGACAACTAACTGATATCAAAAGTTTGAATAAATTCTGTGTTTTACTTTTGTTCTAAAATTGTTTAGATATTAACCCAAGAAGACTGGAATATGGTACTTTTCAATGGAATGGCACATACAAATCCATGGGCATCGCTGTACTTCGTACTGTTAATGACATTTGGTAACTATGTATTATTCAACCTTCTTGTTGCTATTCTGGTAGAAGGTTTTCAAGAAAGTAAAGAGGATGAGAAACGGCAACAGGTATGTACAATCTATGGAAACAGCTGTAAGAATAAATATACAATTTTGACAACTGTTTTTCAATACATTTTTCTTGCAGGAAGAAGAAGAAAAGTTAAGGATTGAGGAAGAAACTGCTAAAGAAAAAAAACATGTGGATGAATTTATTGAAATGAGCATTTCTTCGCCATTTGTTACATCACGAAAGGTTTTCGGTCAAACTTTTTCTGTTTAATTACTATTTGTGTAAATTAAAACGGTGTTGAGGGGGTATTATTAGAAACTAATAGTTTGATGAAGTAAACAGTAACATTTTGAAAGTTTTTCCTCTATAAATCTTAGTTGTAAAGAAATTTTAGATTGTAGACCTAACTCGATGTACCTGTGGTCAATGGCCAGCTTCACACAGAGCAGAATCTTGGTTACAGTCTAATCTTACTGTATGTTAGTTGTGTTAATTTTTTTTCCTTGTAAGAATTACCTGAAATATATTTTCACCTCTTTTTTATTTCAAAATTTGTAGATGGAATTAGACAGTTCATTGGTACGACAAAATTTTGGTTTAATTGGAAATTCATCTGCCAATTTGCCTAGACGACGGTTTTCAAGTTTGGTGAAGAGAAGCTCAGTTACTGCAGCTAACATGTAAAATACTGCCAATGAAGTTTTGTAACATAAATTACAGTTGCACTACCGTACAAATAACTAACTTTGATTTTGGTCACTAGGACTATTATCTAAAAATAAAGTGAAACAAAAGCAGAAAATTAATTGCTATTTTACTGACTATCTTATCAATATTAATTAAAGAATTGAGGAGCATTATATGAGATATGCAGCATAAAAGAGAAATCAGAAAATTTTTTCTTGGCATATCTAAGTACCTCTGCACTACGGTTAAAGCAAGAACTTTTTTTAGAGATAACAGTTTTTTACGTGAAAGAAGCAGCTTTCTTGGTCCGATCGTTAGTAGAACTAAAAGTGATACAAGTGATTCAGAGTCTCAAGATGAAGAGAAATATTTTCAAGAAAGACAAAGGTAAGTTTGAAAAAAATTTTGGAATGTTTTTTAGTCTGGACGAGCTGCACAAAAAGTTTGTACTTAGATGAAAAACACTACTGCGCCTTTGTTTGTTGATAGTCAATATTAATCCATAGAAGAATTGAACTTTTTTAGTTCAAAAACAACAATAAATTTGATGGTCATAAAGAAAATGATACAAAAAATTACTGCTATATGCAAAAAAAATAGTGTGGAAATTCAGAACAGTAGTTTTAGGCTGAACCGTCATACATCTTTGTATACACCGAAAACATTAAGAAGGGGTAACACAACACTTCAACGAGTGAACAGCTTCTGTGGTCTGCAGACCGTATTCAATCCGTACTGTCAGATTCATGGTTGTCGTGCACTTGGCAGTGACAGTGCTGTCGAGGAAATCCTTAAAGTCCAGATTTCATTGCCTCTTAAATTTTTCAAATATTGCAAAGTTTTTAGGCTGTTCAGCTTTCTATATTTCAGGCGACAGTTGAAGATCATTTGGCAGATACAAAAAGTGAAGGGAGATTTGAAGAGAACAAGCCGAAAAAAAAACAACGATGGATCAAAAGATATTGGAAAAAGATTACAAAAGGAACCTTTATTGATAGACGTTCTGATTATGCATTTTTTTTGCTAAGTCCAGGAAACTCGGCTCGAATTTTGTTAGTTTTTTATAGATTTTTATTGTTAAAAGTAATAACTGTTAGTATGAGGTTTGTTTTTCAAAATTTATACTTTTATCTACTTAGATAATTGCAGTTGTCTACGGCTTACTCAAAAGAAATGGTTTGACTATTTTATTCTGTCTATCATAGCTATTAATTGTATAACCCTTGCAATGGAACGACCATCTATTCCACCAGATTCTACTGAGAGACACTTTTTGACAATTAGCGGTTATGCTTTCACAGTAATTTTTACCTTGGAAATGACACTTAAGGTTTGCCTTTTTTTCTCTTTATTTGTTATTTAATAAAAGTATCGCTTTAAAAACCTAATAAATTTTTTTAGGTTATTGCTAACGGGTTTTTTCTCGGTCATGGTGCTTATTTTAAAGACGGTTGGAATGTATTAGATGGTACATTAGTGATTATTAGTTTAATGAATGCAGCTTTTGAACTTCTTGCGCATTCAGGTAATAAATCTAATAAAAAAATTGCTAGTCAAATTATGAAATTTTTTCTTTAATTAGAAAAGATATTTTAGTATCTTTGTACATATAACAGAAACTAAAATGGTGTAACTTCTCTACCAGGATGCAAAAATATCACAAAACTGTATACATAATTTTTCTTCAGATTCGCCAAAGATTTTTGGTGTTGTTAGAGTATTGAGGCTTTTGCGAGCATTAAGACCTTTGCGAGTTATTAATCGTGCTCCCGGTGTCAAACTTGTTGTTATGACTTTGATTAGCAGCATTAAACCAATCGGAAATATCGTCTTAATTTGTTGCACATTTTTTGTTATATTTGGTATACTGGGTGTTCAACTTTTTAAGGTATAATATAATTTTACACGACCAGCTGAATTGTTTATTTTTTCAATCTATTTTAAGAAAATTTCTGTTGCTTAGGGAATGATGTATTACTGCGTTGGGCCTGAAGTTGGTTCTGTGGTCACTAAGGCTGACTGTATAGCAGATCCGCGAAATAAATGGATGAATCAACGATATAATTTTGACAACATTGGTCATGTAGGTTTTACTAGTTTTATTCAACTTTTTTTTTCAATTATTATGATGTTTATGGACAAGCATTTTTACGTTGTTTTGGTACAAACAGTCTTAGTACAAGCATTTTTGGTGGCAAACCCATTTTTTCTTAGGCGCTGATGTCGCTTTTTGTGTTGTCAAGCAAAGACGGTTGGGTCTCCATCATGTATCAGGGAATCGATGCAGTTGGTGTTGATATGCAGGTATGTATTCTTTCCAACAGGCTTCTGAGTTGTTGGCAAAAAAGAAAAAGGCTTTGACATTCTCTGACTGTACTATTTTTTAAAGCCGATAGAGAATTATAACGAGTGGCGTATGATATATTTTATATCCTTCTTACTGCTGGTCGGTTTCTTCGTTTTGAATATGTTTGTCGGCGTTGTGGTAGAAAATTTCCATAAATGTAAGGAAGCACTTGAAGCAGAGTTGAAAGAGCGTGCGAAACAGAAACGACTTCAAAGGAAGCTGGAGCTACAAAAATACGAAATGTTCTACGCCGCCAAAAAAAAAAAGCGTTTGTCATATCCACTATTTCTTAAGCTTTTCTCTGCTATAGTACTGTAACGTATAAATCATAATAAATTACGGTTAACTATTTTATATAAGTTCCATGAAATAGTATACGTATTAAGACTCTAAATTTCAGCTAAGACAACTGTTCCTTACTGGACTCAATATGGCAGAAGACGACTGCTTGTTCATAGCATAATAACCTCTAAATATTTTGACTTGGCTATTGCTGCTGTCATAGGTAATACATTCTACAAGAGCAATTGAAAATTATGTCTAATATTTTTCACAGTAAACTGTCGTCGCATATCGGTAAAATTTTAGGCGTTAATGTGATATCAATGGCAATGGAATTCTATATGATGCCAAATGGATTAAAATATACGCTTAAAGCGTTGAACTACTTTTTCACCTCAATCTTCACTTTAGAAGCTGGTCTCAAAATATATGCTATTGGTTTCCGACGTTTTTTTAAGGAAAGGTTAGCATTTTTGACAGTATCAGATATCTGTTAGCGGAAAGAAAGTGCTACAGAATTTAAAATTTTTTTTTCTGCATAATAAGCTGTATCATTTAGTACAAGCATTGTCGCTTAATATTAGATGTTTAAATGATTACTCATAAATAAGAGTAATAAATCTTTCTTGATAATTTCTTTGCTCTTCAAAAAAACAGTATGTACTGTTATTGACACTTACAACTAATTCCTTTCACAATATTTGTTCTAACATGTTATTCCTTCTTTCAATTGTTTTCTGAAAACTGTTTGCTCAGATGTTATGACGTTTGGTCATATGAAAGCACTTGACAGTGCTCTTTTTTTATTAATTTGGCAGCCTGACTTATTTAGGTGGAACCAGTTGGATATGTTAATTGTAGTCCTTTCTATTGCTGGTATAGTCTTTGAAGAGTTTGAAGCCTTAGAACTGCCAATTAATCCGACAATTATCAGGGTTATGAGGGTTCTTCGTATAGCTCGTGGTACCTGTTTGAATGCTTGTTGAAAAGTTTATTTCACGGAAATGTTGTCTTTTGCGGAGCGTTGCTTCAAAATATTTTGGAAGGCTGTTAATCACTTTGTTGTTTTATCTTTTTTCAATTTTAATGAGTGATGAAAAGTAAACTGTTTCTGTAAAGAGAGAAAACTGAGAGGAAAATATGGCGGATGCACTGTTTGGTTTAATATGAGGTTGAAACATTAGAAAGCTTACAAATTGAAGAAAGTGAAATGAGGTGAATAAAGACTCAGCAAGCTGAAAAGCTAAAAATCTGCAGGAATCTAAATATAGTACGATGTTCGGCATTGAACATTGACACTGTAGTAAAACTTAGTTTGTTTAGAAACTTTTAACACATTCAAAACTGAACAGAACATCAGAAATGCCATATCATTTGTTGCGAAATTTTATAACTTAAAGATGAAGTTTTTTTGCTTTGCAAATATTCAGCGGTAAACACTGTCGACTTTTTTTAGTGTTAAAGTTACTAAAGATGGCAAAAGGAATTCGTTCTCTACTCGACACTGTTGGCGAGGCTCTACCTCAAGTGGGCAACCTTGGATCGTTGTTTTTTCTTCTTTTTTTTATATTTGCTGCTCTTGGTGTTGAATTATTTGGAAAACTAGGTAAGTTATCAAACAGCATTATTATAACTTTATTTATTAATTTAGTTGCAACTTTTACGTTATATTTTAAAGAATGCAAATAATTTTTGTCTTCTTTTAGACGTTATGCATTGCACCTGAATTGAATTCAATTAAGTTGTTCTTTTTTCTTTAGAATGTTCTGACGCACATCCGTGTGACGGATTAGGCGAACACGCCCACTTTAAAAACTTTGGTATGGCTTTCTTGACTTTGTTCCGGATTGCAACTGGTGATAATTGGAACGGAATCATGAAGGTATATCAAATTCGTAACTGCAGAAATCAGTTTTTAATTTTGTAAAATTAGTTTTTTTCTTTGGGTGATTATAAGATAGGGCTGAGTTTTGTCATTTCTAGGATGCTTTACGTGATGATTGTGATTTATCGGATCACTGTGAGTCAAATTGTTGCGTGGATAAGGTTTTAGCGCCCTTGTATTTCATTATTTTTGTGCTTATCTCTCAGTTTGTTCTTGTCAATGTTGTTGTCGCAGTGCTTATGAAGCATCTAGAGGAAAGTAACAAACGCGATGACTCGTCACAAGGTAAAAACGTTGTGTAAATTAGCAAAACTGTACTGATCGCCCTTATTCCGTCAGTCTTAAAATAAAAAGCTTAATTGTTCCAAATGATTATAATTTTTTAATATAGTCCACTGTTATTTACGTTATAGGAAGAAAAGCATTATCTGAAAGTGGAGCAGAGTCGGAAACCCAAAAAACTGAAAGTGAAGAAGAAGGTATAGTAGAGCCTTTATAAATAACGCATCTATGACGGCTTTTTTTCAACAGCTAGCCGGAAATTTATTATCGACAGTTTAAAGTTACCGACTGAAAGAATTGCAGTAGTGAAGTAATACGAGTTAACTACAACGTCTGCGTTCCTTCCATTAGAACTGCAACTTGTAAGACTTTTGATGATTAAGCTCAAAAAAAACTGTTTATTGTTTCCTGTATCAGTTATGTAGCAATATCTGTGGAAATTTTTGTGAAAAACTGTATCACATTGAATTTGCCATATTTATTCTAATTATTTGCAATCAATTTTTTAATATTCCGTATTTTGAGATCTAATTCCAGAGGATTTTGTAATGATTCAAGCATATCTATCAACGATGTCAAATACGAAAAAAAGAACTATAGAATTTTTTTGTTCAGTTTATCGTCAAATTCTAAGACCGATGTTGGTTTCTCCACAAATCCTTGGTGAAACAAAAAGCTAGAGGGAAAGAACTAAGACGGACTGAACTGTGTTTGTACATTTGATGTTTGTTGCGCGTCTCTCATCTGTAACTTTTGTTAATCTTTTTCAATTGTAAGTAACATCTTTCAAGCCGTCATTTTATTCAACGACTTGAATACCGAACAGAAAATTACTTCTGGTTTAGGCAAGCTCTTGTAGTTGATGGGCAAACATACGGCATTTCGTAAACCAGGCATAATCTGATAGTAAAGGTCTTTGAAGAGTGGGAAAGGAATTGAGTGACAGCTTTCGTAATGGACAAAAATTGCAACTAGCTTAAAATACATGGGTAAAAATTTTGTGCCACAGTATTGGAGATTGTTACCGGAAATTCAGTTTTGGTTTTTATCAAGATTTAACCATAAGGCTAAATGACTCAGCATTTTGCTGAACTTCTTATGTTTTTTTTCTGATGATTTTTGTTTCTTGTAACAAAGAAATAGATTTTTGGAAACATAAGGACGTTTCGAATAGTATAAACGACAATTGGGATCAAGGACCAACCATCAACTGCAATTGTAGCAAAATGGAACTTAGAAAATTTTTGATGGACTTCTGAAAAGTGCGCCTCTGCCCGCGAGTTAATTAACGGAATATATGATGACAGTTTAAAAGATTGTAAAAGCGGTTATTAGTTTTTTCATCATTCATTTCTTTTTTTTTCCCTGCAGTTGTTATTTCGACAATACAATCTATGCAAAAATTATACTTAAAAAAACTGCTAGCAGATAGAATATTGGGTATTTGTCGCATGAGCTTTACGTTCACGATTTTTTTTTTTTGCAAAAGGGACTCAATTGCTGTGCTGCTGACAACTAAATAACTTAGCAGATTATCTGAAAAAGAAAAAAAAAATTGGAAGAAGAAAGCCTGAATTAGTTGGTAGAGCAGAGAAATTTTATAATTGTTATTTTTATTCATTGTTTTTAGTTTTTAGTGCATAAATTTTTACTAAAATTTAGTTCCTTTATTTTGCTATCTTTGTTATCACTTTTTCTTCAAATTTACATTGAAAAAATCTTTGTAGTTCTTTGATTACATCAGCAACCATTTTTCATTTTTACTGATCTGTCCATTACCAATGTATTGTCTCCACTTTTTTGATATCCAACTGTTTTCTTATGGTTGTTTCCATCATTAATAGGTAACCAAATGTTAATGGCTTATAACAGTGTTGAAAGCGGACCAACAACAGCGAAAAAATTCTAAAGTAAATAAAAGTTGCACTTATATATTAATAATAAACCCCCGAAAAATCCTTTTAAATCCTATTCCCAGTTCTTTTTCAATTTATCAATTGTCCGTTAAAATATTGCACAATCATGATCAATGGATCGTTGTTGAGGCCATTGCTCTTACCCTATTTTTTTTTCTTCTTTTTGGCCGAAGATAAGATGTTTCGTCGGGTCTATGTTTTTTTTTTTCCGAAATTTTAACCAATTTTCCTTTTCTATATTCATTTTGCTTTTTGAATCTTTTGTTTAAAAAACAACAAAAACTATCAAGCACTAGTGATATTTTAGAAGGAAATATGCCATATTTGTTTTGCTCATTTATGATAGCATCTTTTGCGGTCACCACAATTTTTCTTTTTTTTTTTTTTT